GTATGGAGCCTGCTTGAGAGTCTCTCTTTCTGTCTCTGTCTTAAAAAATATAAATGAATGAATGAGTGAATGAATGGATGAATGAAATTATCCAGTGAAAGAGAATTGAAAATGCAGATAGTACATGGTTTGCCCTAGAAGTTACTCAGTAATTACTTATATATTAAAACCCTTGTAATAATTAACTGTCCTAGGGGGTGCATGGGTGGCTCGGTAGGTTAAATGCCTGACTTTTGATTTTGGCTCAGGTCATGATCTCATGGTTTGTGAGATTGAACCCTGCAACGGACTCTGTGCTGACAGTGAGGAGCCTGCTTGGGATTCTCTTTCCTTCTCTCTCTGCCTCACCCTGCTCACATGCTTTCTCTCTCTCAAAATAAATAAATAAACTTAAAAAGAAGAAGAAAGGGGCATCTGGGTGGCTCAGTTGGTTAAGCATCTGACTCTTGTTTTCCGCTAAGGTCATGATCCCATGGTTCGTGAGTTTGCACCCCATATAGGGCTCTGCACTGACAGTGCTCTCTCTTTTTCTCTCTCTCTTAAAATAAATAAATAACCTTAAAATAATAAAATAAGAGAATAAAATAGAACTGTCCTAGATAACGGGGACATAAAGATGAACATACTACCCTTCCAGGAATGCACTGTCTAAACAGGTCACAGGAAAGACTGAGATTTTGATTCTCTGCCGAGATATTCTTGGCCTGTTCCTGGTTGTCCTGGCAGCAAAGAAGAGTACACTTACCTCTGCATAGCATCGAGCTTGATGAGTAGTCAAGAAATTCCTTCCTTGTTCCACATCAGATTTTTACCAAAGAAATAAGCAGAAGACATCAAATGATGGGAGCTCTAGTTAATCCTGGCTTCACCGCTCATGCTATTTGAGAAGGCAGCAGGGCCCATATTTTCAAAAATTACCTGATGCTCCTGGCCAGGATGCCCCGGAGCTGACTGGAAGAGATTAAACAGACCTTCCATCGCTGGTCCTCACTAGTCAATTTTAAACTTCATTTCAGTCGTTTTTGTTTCCTCTTTCCTCTCTATTAGTCTCATGGTACCAAAAAATGCTGTGTATTTGCTCTCAGTGCTATCTCCTGGGGTTTGTTTTGTTCCAGTCTTAGAAATACCTGGTTTTGGCTCAGTGACTTACCAGTGTTGGGTCCAGCTCAGCACCATTCAGGCTCCAATCTCACTACAGCAGCCTAGCTGTTTTATCCTGTAGCTTTCTACACAATCAGTTCCATTTACATTTATGAGAGAAGTCATTAGGCCTAAATTCTGGCCTCATTTGCATAGAAAGGAGTTAAGATTATTGTACTTGTATTTTCTGAACACAAAGCATCTTTAATCACTCTTTTCCTCTCATAACCTTCTCTAAATAGTAAGAGGAAGCAATTCTTGGAATATAATTGTGTTAGTCCTGCAGTGAATTTTTTTTTTTTATTTTTTTTCAACGTTTATTTATTTTTGGGACAGAGAGAGACAGAGCATGAACGGGGAAGGGGCAGAGAGAGAGGGAGACACAGAATCGGAAACAGGCTCCAGGCTCTGAGCCATCAGCCCAGAGCCTGACGCGGGGCTCGAACTCAGACCGCGAGATCGTGACCTGGCTGAAGTCGGACGCTTAACCGACTGCGCCACCCAGGCGCCCCAGTCCTGCAGTGAATTTTTGAAAGGAGTATTGCATTTCTTTAATTGACTGTAGTCATGTCTTGCTGATAACATATTTCCAAATAATCAGTCCCTAGAATTTCACATCATATTCATTGCCTATAACTGACTCATTATTCCTAATTACAAACCAGCCCACACAACATAGAGACCTGAGGCAATTATCTGGATGACTTAGGCTCTGATGCTCGTTTCATTGGAAAGACTGCGGGACTTGAAGTAAGAAGGCCTACGTATGAGCCCCATCTTTGCCCTTTAACATCCGTTCGATATCTAGCAAGTCACCCTATCTCTCAAGACCTCCATTTTATCATTTGTAAGATGAGATAGTGTTCGGGTTATCAACTGTTTAGTGACTTAACCATCTTATTTTGCTCACCACTTCCAAGATGGCTCCCTCACTGTCACATCTGTGCCTTGTTGCTTCTTGGCCTCTGTAGGCACCCACATGGCACCCCATCCTCCCTGGCCTCTTCTTGTACCTTGGCTTTCTCACAGTATGGTCTCCTGAGAGTGGTCACATTTTTTTTTTTTACATGGCAGCTGACTTCCAGGAAGAAGGAGACAAAAGATGCCAAGCCAGTCAAGGGCTACATCCCAGACTAGCACAACCTCACCTCCTCTGTGTTCTGTTGCTTAAAGTAGTTGCAGGACTCATCCAGATTCAAGGCTGGAGAGACAGACTCTACCTCTTGATGGGGGAATGACAAAGTCACATTGCAGATGTGCATATGGGATATGCCCAAGAGTCTCAAACTGAATTTCTCAGGAAAAATGCACATGTATATGGTTATCAGTGAATTGTAAATGTTACTAATGTGAGGGATGTGTAGCATACAATTTACAATTAAAAATAAACCATATGGTACTCTTTTTTGTAGATTCTATATCCCAATTGATTCTAAAAGAATGCTTTCACTGACTTTTGCCAGACTCTTAGATCAGTAGCCAACCTACTATTGAGAGTAAGAACGTTGCCTTATTTGTCTTTTAGTCTCGTTCAGTGACATTATCTTGCACATAGTAGACTCTCCAAATAACAGTGAAAGAACTGTTAGTCACATTCATAAACTAAAATTTAGTTCATCTTTCAGAAGTTTCACAATAATGACATTTTATTGAATACTTAGTGTGCAAAGCACTTTAACATATGCTCTTTTTTTAAGTATATAATTTTAAGTATATTCTACAAGTATAAACTCCATGAAGACAGAACTTTTTGTTTTCTTTTTTTTTTTTTTTAATTTTAGAGAGAGCATGAGCAGAGAAGGACGGAGGGAGAGAGAAAGGGAAAAAGAGAGAGAGAATCTTAAGCAGCCTCCACGCTCAGTATGGAGCTTGACGTAGGACTTGATCCCACATCCCTGGGATCATGACCTGAGCTGAAATCAGAAGTCAGACACTCAACTGACTGAGCCACCTAGGTGCCCCACATGTATGCTCTTAATCGAGTCTTGTAATACTGTAAGGAATTCCCATTCCCATTCCCCAGAGGGGAAAACAAGTTTTGGAGCAAAATAATTCACTGAGGGCCACTGCTATTGAAGGCATAAGGGCAAGACTACAACCCATGACTTCTGACACCAAGTGTACCACTTTGTACTTCCTCTACTGAAATCTTAAATTTGGAGGAGAAAATGAAAATGAACATGGAGATGGGATTCTCTGCCACTCTCTATATTAAAATACTTCCTTTCAAGGAAGTCTTTCCGATAGATGCTAATTGGCAATTTGTATAGGGTATGTTCACTATTTCAGCTCCTGGTTTAGGTACCAGTATTTACAGTGAGTACAACAAAGTACCCTCAGTGTTGATTTCTCTTGTGAGACAAGATGTATGGTCTTACCACAGGGGACTCAGGCCCACAAATATCTTTCTGCTTGCTTCATCCCTTTCAGAACTCAGTAGCAAGAATTACTTCCACAGTTCCCAGCCACAGGTTCCCTGTAGAAACTAGAGCAGCTGAGGGATGCATGTAGGGAGATGAGACACTCTATGACTACGGGATTTAAATACAACACTGAAAAGCCTGTTGGAGGAAAGCTTGCATATTGCAGAGACAGTCAGTGATGGGAGAAAGCCAGAGAGAGGCCTCCAGGCTTCCTCCTGTCTCTTCCCTTTTTAAAATTCATCATTTTCCAACCACAAAGTAGATTTTCTTATCTCTCAGTCAAATCACTCTCTGTGGTTTGTAGTATCACTCTGTGTTTTGGCTGAAGAGTCCATTTATCATAGAGGTTAGGGTATGGAGATATTTTTATTAATAGTTTTTATTTACAAGAGGGACAAGTTCTTTGTAGAGAAATTAGGAAATAAAGATAAGCAAAAGTTAGGGTGCCTGGGTGGCTCAGTCAGTTAAGTGTCCAACTTTTGATTTTGGCTCAGGTCATGATCTCTCAGTTCATGAGTTTGAGCCCCATGTCGGGCTGCACGCTGACAGTGTGGAGCCTGCCTGGGCTTCTCTCTCTCTCTCATTCTCTCTCTCTCTCTCTCTCTCTCTCTCTCTTTCTCTCTCAAAATAAATAAAGTGAAAAAAAAAAAAGGATAAGCACAAAGTTGAAAGCAGAAACCATCCATGATCTAGTCACTATTGTTAATAGATAACTCACATTAACCTTTTTGTGATTAGTTCAGCATTTCAACCTGAGAGACATAAGCATGTCTCCAAATCCCAACATTTACATGACATGGGTTATGTGTTTGTTAAATAGTAATAGTAATGACATTCTAGTACACGTTTTCCGAGTGGCTTTAGGTGCTCTGCTGAAACTTTTCATTCTACTTGTCTGAACTTTCAAAATTTGAGAATAAATAGCACCTGCCTTCTCAGCAGTTCTATGGCAGCTAGTCAAGGCCATGTCGCTGCACATGGTGTGCAATGCAGAACTTTCATAGGGAAATGATAATGGTTTCTGAGAAAGTCTTATGACCTATGCTATCCTGTGGTCATCGAGGGCGGGGGATATGTGTGACTCACAGACTAGATCCCAGGATGAGTTTAGCAAAGGCCTTTCTCCTCTCCTCTTTGTCAGTGACACTTGAAGGACATCTGACCCTCCTCTTTGTCAGTGACACTTGAAGGACATCTGACCCTCCTCTTTGTCAGTGACACTTGAAGGAAATGTGACCTGGGTTTTTTTTGGCTATAGTGTGATACTACATTTATCGTACCTCTACCAGGTAAAGACCTAGTAGAAATTAGGAATCTCTTTTTGCAAGACATTTTTTAAAAGAATGTCTGCTTTGTTGATGCTGTTATGCTAAGAAAATATGTGACCTAAGTACAATTCTGTTTATCTGTTGTTTTTTTTTTTTTTTTCCTATTTAGGCAGCAATAAGGAAGGAACTAAATGAATTTAAAAGCACAGAAATGGAAGTTCATGAAGAGAGTCGACAGTTTACAAGGTAGGTGGGCAAAATGCAATTCAGCATATTTTTATGTGTATTTTACCACAATTAAAAGTTTTTTTAAGTTTTTTTAATGTTTATTTTTGACAGAAAGAGACAGAATGTGAGTCGGGGAGGGGCAGAGAATCCAAAGCAGGCTCCCGGGCTCTGAGCTGTCAGCACAGAGCCCCACGCTGGGCTCAAACCCACGAGTGGTGGGATCGTGACGTGATCTGAAGTCGAACATTTAACCAACTGAGCCACCCAGGCAGCCCTACAAGTTTTTTTAAATACAGTTGAGCCTAACACCATCTAACGAACATTTCTAAAATTAAGTCTTTTTTTTTTTTTTTTTTTTTTTTCCTACAGAAGTCTGAATCATTCCAAAGGGCTATGTTTGGGTTTCTTTCTTAGCTTTATTTTCTGGGACAGGAGAAACGCATTAGAATCATTTATTCTGTCCTTAAAGAGACTTAGTTGAAGTTTTATGCCCAGAACAGATGCTGGAAAGAGCCACGATGGGCACCTTGTGTCTGCTTTGGGATCACAGTAGACATAACCTAGAGAAGATAGAAACTCAATTTTTAGAAGATTTAACTTAGACTAGGAATCCAGTTTTTACTGGTGCTGTGGAAGATTGCAATAATCCTACTCTTGTAACTCCCAGTACCCCCTCGGTTTCAGTTTATTTTTCTGCTGAAACCAGAAGAGACCTGAATGTGATCATATAGTCTGACTACCTGCCCTCCCTCCCCCACAGCCCCCCACCACCGCTTTACAGGTGTTCTGTTTATTTCTCTGTAATGGATTTATGTGATCTGGTTTTTTTTTTTTTTATAACACATATATTCGTAAAAATTTGCATGCCAATTAAAAATTGAATTATTGGGGGGCGGCTGGGTGGCTCAGTCGGTTAAGCATTCGACTTCAGCTCAGGTCATGATCTCATGGTTCGTGGGTTCGAGTCCCGCGTCAGGCTCTGTGCTGACAGCTCAGGGCCTGGAGCCTGTTTCTGATTGTGTCTCCCTCCCCTCAGCTCCTCCTCTGCTCACACTCTGTCTCTCTCTCAAAATAAATAAAGATTAAAAAAAAAATTTTTTTTAATTGAATTGTTGGGGCACCTGGGTGGCTCAGTTGGTTAAGTGTCTGACTTTGGCTCAGGTTATGATTTCATGGTTCGTGGGTTTGAGCATCCCCTGGCTGCTTCAGATTCTGTGTCTCCCTCTCTCTCTGCCCCTCTTCCACTCACACTCTGTCTCTCTCCCTCTCTTAAAAATAAATAAAAACATTAAAATAAAATTGAATTATTAAAAAACATACCAAGACAGATAATTACACGAAGAAGACCACAGTAGGTCTTTCTGGAAAGCTAATACTGGTTCCCTAGGCTAGAACAGCTTCTGCAGGACAGCCATATATTATGGTGCTGCTCTGTCTGCAGTGGCTCCTGTCGGTGGTGCTGTTCCATGCTGAGCATGTCCTACGATAAAGGAAGTCATGGCACAACTTCATAATTTAATAGCAAATCCCTTCCCTAAAGTTGATGGGGGCCTCCTTGCTCCAAAGCTATTGCTTCTGTGATAATGTCTGGTGTGCAGAAGAAATTCCCCCTTTCTCCTAGGGGAGGTTTATTTGTTTTGGTTCCTCCCATATCATGTTTATTTGTAAATGCATTCGGGGCTTTTAGCCATCTGAATGTGTAGGATTTGTCTCTATCTGAGGGCTGCATCCTATCCTGCCTGATCTACTCTTGGGCCAGTCACACGCCCGTATCAAGCCAGACAGACCTATTTGTCCCCTCCTTTTCTCCCTTCCACTCTGAGGTCAGGGAAAGTTCATGCTGATATTTGACACCTGTGGCCATACTTCTCCAGTAAAGTTGATCATAATAAGGTGGCTGAATATTTATGGTGACATCTAGTTGGCTGGGACCTCCGGGTAACTGGAAGGACAGCATGCACATGTACTTGTGCTTTTGAGTCCTGACCCCCGAGATATAGTGACTACACTCAACCTATTCTTTATCATTCAGGATAGCTTTCCTTCTGTGTGTTTTTCCTAGAAATCATAGAAATCCTGATTACCTCATTTTTATTTGATGACATTATATGAAGAATAAACTACAAAGGAAAATAACCAAATTTTAAAAATGCATTTCTTTGGAAGTTCTGTTTATAAAAAATAAAAATTTGTACTGAAGGAGGTCCTTTCTCTTCTATTGTATGCTATGAACGAGTTTTTAAAAAGGAGGCTGCAAAGAGAGTAAAGGTCATTTATTTTTTGCATATGTATTTGTCATGGACCAATATATTCTAATTAAGCGTTCAAACAATTCAAAAATCCATCCATGAAAAAGGAAAACTCCCTTCGCTCCATCCTTCCCCAGCTTCTTTCCCATTCTCGTAGGTAATCACCAGGAAAAGTTTGGTGTAGGTAGATCCATCTGGTCACTTTTCTGTGCATTTGCAAACACGTATGGATATTTATGATTTATGTGCACATACACATATGCCTTTATGTATCCCTTCTGAGTCACACACAAAACAGGATCTAGAAAATCTTTCCATATTAGTGTGTACCTCATTCACTTGAATGACTTTATGGCCTTTTGTAGATAATATACCATAAGTTATTGAACAATTATTCTATTGATGGATGTTATGGAATTTGTAGTGTTTCATTAGAAAAGCAATGCTGCCTTGACTTTCGTTGTAAATATATCCTGACACATAGATGCCAGTATTTCTGTAATAGTCCCGTGAGTGGATTTGCCAGGTCACTGGCGATATATTTTTTACATTTTGGAAGATGCTATTCTGTAACCTGCAGTTTATGAGCATACCTGGTGCATCACCTTCATCAGCACTGGTGGGGCAGGACAGGGGTGGTGGTGAGGGGTCTATAGTCTAAAGAATGAACAATAATATCTTATTTCATTGATTTCTATAAGGTTGGGTATCTTTACATATCTTTATTGACCATTTACATTTTTTATTTACTTTTACTAGTTTTCTTTTGGGTGTCTCTTTCATATGGATTAGTAATTAGATATTACTTAGATATTGTGGATATTAGCTCTTTATTACATATGTTACTATACTTTGCCCCAATTTATTCTTAACTTTTTAACTTTTTTTAATGGTCTTTTACTTAACTCTTTGCATATTCAAATATGTCTGAATTGTTACTTTTACTTCATTGTTCTGTGTCTTATGGAGAAAGGCCAAGATTAGAAATCTATTATCTTCAGTTCTTATGTATGCCTTTTTTTTTTTTTAACTTAGATCTTTAATCCATTGGGCATTTATTTGGATATATGATTCAAGAGAGTAACTAACTTTACTTTGTTCTAAATCAGTAGTCAGTTGCCCCATTTATTTCCCCCTTGATGTGAAAGTCTTCTTTTAATATACACATGGATCAGTTCCTGGATTCTTTTTTTTTTTTTTTTAAGTGGGTTCTGCACCCAATGTGGGACTTGAACTAACAGCCCTGAGATCAAAAGTTGCATACTCCCCTGGCTGAGCCAGCCAGATGCCCCCAGATTCTTTATTATGCTCTAGTGAGTTATTGTCTATCTTTGCACTGTGTCACACTGTTTAATTAGAATAGATTTGTGATGTGTTTTTATATCTGATGGCATATTTTTTCACCTTCAAAATTCCATTGGCTACTTTGCTGTATTTACTCATCTACAGAAATTTAGAGTGTACTTATTATATACTATAAAAGTCTATCAATATCGTTATTGTTTAAGTAAATATTAATAGATATAAATAGGGATGAGCTGCATTTCAAGAGAAAATTATAGGTTTTTTTTTTTTACCGTAACAAAGGTAAGCTTTAAAAGTTTTCCAAAAAATATATTGATTAACGCTCTTTAAAATGTCTATCCAGATAAAGAAAAATTAAATATTCATAGCAGTAAGATAAATATGCCTTGCTTAAGTACTTTTAAAACCTGGCAGCAAAGCAAATGTCTACTGCTATTTTTCCATTAATTTGTATTACATCATTAGAGTTACATTCCAATAGAGAAAAATTTTGGCTCTAAGACTTATAAAAATCTTGCTTATGATTTTCACATTGTTTTCAGTATTTCTTTTAAGAGGAAAAAGGTTTGGTAAACACTGCTGAGTTTAATCAAAATAATGCCAAAATATGATAATGTTTTACATTTAGAAAATCGCTTATGTAGAAGATGGTATTACTCTTAGCAGCAGTCACCCTTGGAGGGAGCATACGGGCTGCTGATCATTTCCTAGCCCTTTAAATCCAATCTAGATAGAGAGCAGCTCACTTATTAGCTCTCCTTATTAGTGGCAGACATTATCTCCTTATATCAAGTAAGCCTGCCATTCAAAACCTAAATCTGTTAACTCCCTGTGGATTTAGAGTGGTTAATAAAAGACAGCCCTGCTCCCTCTGCCCGGGCACCTTTTTATCCAGAGATAATCTCCCCCACAGTGATGTATCAGTCAACACTGGAAGGATCCATTCCCATAGAGGGAGCTTCCTTTGCTTCTGTATCTCTGGAGAGATTCACAAAAAGCTGATAACATTGGTTGCCTCTGGGGCGGACGATTGGTGGGTAGGAGCAGGCATGGGAAAAATTCACTCTTTGAATTTTTGAAATTCAAGAATTTATTATCAAAAACAAATACCTAAAAGAAAAATGAAAGCTCCATTCCCTAAGTTCTCTGTCTGTAAGTGAGGATACCATCATGGTAGCTTTCCTTGAATAATGTGCTAGCACTAAATTCGTTGTGACATTCCTGTTATTGGTGTACCCAGAAAACACCTCTGAAACCTCCATCATGGAATATATTCTGTGACATGTTGGATCTGTAGTGGTAAAGAATTGCAGTGATTCACTCTTTCATCTAATTCCCCAAATTTCTCCCCGTGTATTTTGGATGGCTCTCTGGCGTTGCAGTGCCTTCTGGGGCCATGTGACAAGGGGGAGGACTAGTGATCCCCGAGACAATTCATCCTGTGGCCTGAGAGGAACCAAGCTC